TTTTTTGTAAAAGTTGTGCGATATACATATTATTGTCTTGCTGATCATAAATAAATTTGTTAAAAATTTTATTTGACCCGGGTTATCTGGGGTCAAACTATAACGGGTCAGGTCAAGGTCGGGTTTTATAAATATTAACCTGGGTAATTGTACAGGTTGGTTTTTATAAACGGGTCGAGTCTGAGTACATTCTCAAACCCGACCTGATTCGACCCTTTTGGAATACTACACTTAATTGCGTCGCTGTGACAAACAAAGTGGCAAATCTAACGATCTAACCTATAAAATAATAAAACAAAAAAATAATAAATAAAATTATTAATCAATAATACTGAACTGATTGATTAATTATTAATTAAGTAAATAATTAACAATAGGAATAAACAATACATAATATTAGAAAAAAAACAACAATAAAAACAATTTTATTATGAACTTGACTGTGCCGCCGCAACAGACCAAATCCTTTTTTTTTAAAAAAAATATTTAAGTAACCTTTATTCCTTGAGGTAGATTCCTTCTCTACCTTTACCTCTACCTTATCCTCTACCTTTTAGTGTTAGTGTTAGTGTAAAGTAAATATAATAATAAGATATATAGTCAGTCATTAGCATTACACGAATTGCCTAAAAAGGAGAATTATTTGAGGAAAAGAAAATTTTTTTGTTGCTCAAAGGTCCAGAAATCCGGTTTACGCTAATAAAATCACACTAAATTTTTTATAACATAATACCGATCCTCCTTTAATATATATAGTATGTCAAAAAGTTAAAAATTAAAAAAATAATTATAAATAATTTAGAATAAAAAAAAAACTAATAACAAAATTAAAAGGGGGAGAGGAAAAAAAAATAAAATAATTAAAAATAATTTCGAAATATAAAAAAACATAAATAATTAATAAAACAAACTTGGGGGGAGGAAATAAAAAAAAAAGAAAAAAAAATATATATTTTTTTTTTAATTTCAAAGTTTTGATATGCCGTGGCGAAATTTGAACGTGAATATTTCATCATTTACCATTCCAGTTCTTTTCAAATTTGATCCGCAGATTCGGTAGGTTCTATTCTTTTAAACAAGACCAAATCCATCCCGATTCAATTACTCGATCTGGAGATATATGGGAATAACTGAAGCAATTATTTTGAAGTTCATCACAGAAGAATCTCAACCAGGTGTGAATACCAGAACCGTAGCAAAAGGAACTGTTCGAAAAGTAATGATTCCAAACACTATTTTCACCATCTGAAAACCTAAAAAGAAGTAAGAAAACTGTATTTTATTATGTAAGAAAATGAAATAGATTGAGAGTTGGTAAAAAAAAAAAGGTTTGCTGTGACGAAATTTAAACACGAATAACTCAACATCAACTATTCCAGTTCCTATCTAATTTACTATGCAGGATCGGTAGGTTTTGATCTTTCAAATAAGATCGTAATCATCCCGATCCATTCACTCTATCCAAAGGTATTTGAGAATAACTTAAAGCAATTATTTTAAGGTTCATCACAGAAGAATCTCAAGCAAGTGTAACTCCCGGAATTAAAGAAAAGGAACTGTCCGAAAAGTAATGATACTGAATACTAATTTCACCATTTGGGAATCTAATGGAAGTGAGAATATTGTATATTATTATGTTAGAAAAAAGAGTTACTTATAAGTGTTCAAAATCAATTATTTAAACTGCAAATCCTTAAAATCTTTAAAATGAAGCAATCATGTAATCTAAAGGTCATAAAAATACCAATTAAAAATGATCAGATACAGCCCTAAGAGACCTTCAAATCAAGCTAAATTTATCACAGTTTGATCATTGGATGCTGAAGTAGCATTAAAAATTGATAAGATCTTAAGCTGATCTAAAGTCAATTTTAGAGAAGTATTTATGAGCAAATTTTGAATTAATTTTCTGGTGATACCAAGGTTTGATTGCCTATAGGAGTTAAAAAAATTGTATATTGTTATGTAATAATATGAAGTTACCTATAGAATCTTAAAATACAAAAATTTCTATTTTAATTATAACCAAATCATAACCCAAATTATATTCTAACAAAATATGAATATAATCTGTATTCAATCCAATTCATCCTAACCTAATCCTAACTTAATAAATACTAATTTAGTTACAACAAATCTAATCCAATCTAATCATATCTCTGTATCCTAATCTTCAAATTTTAACTCTAACCTAACCAAACTAAACCTAAATGATCTTTAAAACTTTACCCTTTTTTTGTCACGAAGTGACCTCAGAGCATCGCCCAGGTAGAATTGCTAGTCCCCTATAATTTATTACGCCAGTTCTCTCACTAAAAAAAATGTCACACCGTCTCCTCAGACAGGTTGTAAAACTGCCGATCGCCTAATTTAGAAAATACAATAAACAAAAATCGTGACGCGATATAAAAACAAACGTATCGCTGAGATTCTGCGAAATCTTTATTTTAATTATTTTTATTTTATTTTTTTTATTTTCATTTTTTCATTCATTATTTTGTTTTATTTTATTTTTTTAAAAAAGTGAAACGATAACTAAAAATAAAGAAAAAGAAATTAAGTAAATTGAAAAAAAGAAAAAACTAAAACTAAAAAATAAAAATAAAATAAAAATGAAAAGAAAAATTAAATGATAATAACGAAACGAAAAAGAAGAAAAAAACGAACTAAACGAAAGAAAAAAAAAAAAGAAAAGAACGAAACTTTAATAAATAAACGAAATTAAACATTAAACAAAAAAATATAAAAAAATTAAAAAAATTAAAAACTTTAAAAAAACAACTGAAAAAAAAAGATATAAAGATCGTACGAATATAGATCGCACGAAAATGAAATAAAAAGAACTTCAGGGGTAAAAAATAAAAGAATAAAAGAATCAGAGGAAATAAAAAAAGATACAAATTAAAAAAAATATAAAAAAAAATAAATTAAATTTAAAATATGAAATAATTAAAATTAAAAGAAAAAAGAAAATAAAATAAAAAATAAAAAAAAAAAATAAAAGACCGGGGGGAGTAGGAATTAAAAAAAAAACAAAATAAAAATAAAAAAAATTAAAAAATCGAAAAATAAAAAAAGATTAAAATAGTGTCGCAAAAGAAGAAATTAGGATTCTGAGTGGAATTCAATTATATGGAGTGATGAATCCCGTTTTTTATTATTCCAAAATGATGCTCATCATTAGGTTTGGCGTAGGCCACATGAAAAATTTGATGTAAATTGCTTAATTTCAACAGTAAATCAGGAAATCAAGGTGTTATGGTATGAGGATGTTTTGCGAAAGATAGATTTGGTCCTTTAATTCAAGTTCCTTGTAGAATTACAGGTTCTGCATATATTGATATATTAAAAAATACTTTTTTACTATTTTATAACAGTTTTGAAAATAATTTACAATATATTTTTCAAGATGACAATGCTTCAGTTCATAGAACAAGTGCAGTTAATCAATGAAAAAAGAGTAATTCAGTATTAAGTCTTCTGTAGCCTGCATAAAGCCTGGATCTTAATCTAATTGAACATCTATGAGATGTTTTGGAAAGAAAAGTTCGGGTACACAAATCTCATCCAAAAAATATTAGGGAATTAATGATAGTTTTAGAAGAGGAATGGAATCAAATCGAACCTGAAATATTAGTAAATTTAATTGAAAATATGCCACGAAGGGTTCAAGCTGTAATAGATAGTCGTGGTAATCCAACTAGATACTAATAATATAAATAAAAAATATGAGCTTTTCTGCATTACATATATAAATTTTGTAAAAATTTTATTAATAAATTGTTAAGTAATAAATGTCAAAATCAGCTATAATTTCAAATGATCAGTAAAATATCGGCAAGTGGTCGGATATTTTTTGGAGGGGAGTGTATATAGATTTTACACACTGCATGAGATATTTTTTATCTAATAATATTTAATGATAAAAGTTTCTTTTAAAATATTTTTAAGGTTATTAAATGATATACTAAAGATGTAAAAAATGCTTTCATGATTATTAATAACTATCTTCAAAAAAATGAGTTTATTATTTTTAATCTAATTAAATCAGATGATAATCTACTTATAATTTGATTGAAATTTGATACTCTATTAAACCTGTAAAGGAAGATAAAGTTACATGAGAAGCATAAAAAAGAAAAAAACATTCTTATCAGATCTTAAAGATTCATGGCTTCTGAAAATCTGATAATTAAAGTTTCAATTTTTTGTTAAAATATCATTTATTTGCAATGAGATAGTTGAAAAACGTGGTAGGCTTTGACTTTCAACCAAGTATATTAATAATTATTCATCTTTATTATGATGTTGTGCTAAAGATTACAAGTTGATGGCAAAGACTTCATGATGCCCATATTGCGAAGACAATAGACCTCTTACAATTGAGAATGCAAGGCAATTTACTAGTAGTAGAAATGGAACATGTATTTCTACTGAATATATTAATGCTAACACTCCAATGCGGTGGCAATATGCAAACGGTCATGAGTGAACTACATCTCTTAATAATATCAAAAATGGTGCAAACTGAGCTGACGTTGAATTCAGTTAAGTCGATGTAATTATTTCTTGGTCCTTCGTCCTCATTTTCTTTGTCCCTCTAGTATGTAATAGAAAATCTGGTTAATGGCTGTGTTCATTAAGTAGAAATATTTTCGTTAGTAATAGAACTTCGTTGTAATAAGGAAGGTGCATACTTCCGTCATTTTTTTTATCGTCATGATAGCAGGCATTTCCAACAATCTCCCCGAATCCTACGGCACGATCAGAGCTATTTACTTTAATAATTAATAAATGGAGGCCAAAGTATTGAACTTGACCCTCCTTGTGGTATCAAGTGACCTTTGCCGAAAACTATATAAATAACAATTGTTTTTACAATAAGATCGGCAAGAGGGTCAAGACAGGACCACGAGGAAGGTCAAGTTCGATACATTTGCTGGAGAAGCGTCGTGTGACCAACCAATTGCACGTTGGTCGTTTTGATCCTTTATATCCATATTCTCGATTTCACCTCTGGTCAGTAATAGGATTATATTAGTATCTTATAAACATCCTTTCAGGAGATAGGAGATAAAGATAATAAAGTGTGACTTACGTTCTATATTAATAGCATTGTTAACATCCAAGAAAATATCCTCTATAAGACGATTCATGATTCTGTCACGATATGCGTATTCTGATAAGCTTCTATCATGAAGTGGATTAATGGGAAGTTGAAAGCACAATAAAATACTACCAAGTATCAGGCTACGTTATTTAAATATTACAAATAAGTTCGCAGTAACGAAATTTATTTACTTACAATGCTTTGTACATCAATTTATCGATTCAAGGGCTAATCTCTGCTAAAACTATATGTGGTTGTATCGATTAGAGGATTCTTATTAAGACTGACAGCAATTTGAGGCAAATTGACATGATAGTTAACTGTTGCCTCAGTAATTGTGTCATCATACATTTTTAGAAGCCCTTTCTTATTTTCGTCTATTCCGCTATTGACAATTCCTTTAAAAGTAATGAGTTTTGCTGATAATAATACTATCAATTAAACAATTAGGACTACAACCACACACCAATCCACTTCCAATTTTATCCATTCTTCTCTATTAAATATTGACTGATCGGATCAAGATCATTTTCTTTTGGTCGAAATGGAACTTTGTGAATCTTGAATTTCAATAGATTTTGCTTGAACATTAGGCTTTATTGCTGAAAGTTTTTGAGAAGTTGCTTGATAATTTTCCAAGGACTCTAAGGCTTTGAAGGTCCTTGATATCTAACTATAGTATTATGAGATGTTGAAGCCTAGAAGTAGAAATAGTTTCATCAATTAAACTAGCGGTTGATCTATTTCTTCTACGAGAAGTTGTATTAGAAGTTGACTTGATGACGATTAATCATCAAGTATGAAATATTATTTTATAGCGAGGAATTCCGGATCCAATGTTCAAGATTTATAATGTAGTTCCTCTTCATTGTTTACAATATCTTTGTTGCTCTATTATAGAAGATTTCGTTATGACAGTGTTCATTATGTAGTAATATTTTCATTAGTATATAAACAAGAGAGAGAGAGAGAGAGAGAGAGAGAGAGAGAGAAGGTGCATAACCGATTCCTCCGGAACTTTAGCAACTTAAAACTTTCAATAATTAACTTGTATTTTTTCTATTAAATCATAGAGGATCTTTGACAATAGAAAAGGAAAAATCTGCCGGAAAAATCAAATTTTACTTTATGTCAAATATTTATATAACTTAACGTAACTCGCGTAAGTCGCGTGTCACATGTTCTAAAAACACGTGAGAGATTTAACCATCGGTAACGTGATCTAAATTTATTTGTTACTGTCGTCGTTATTTCTAACAAATTTAATTTTTTAATTCTGGCCAAGTGTCCATAATGCGGACCAAAAAGTCACGTTACCGAAAGTTTTTTGGTGGTAAAACTAATAAAAGATATTGAAATAAATTACATTTAAATAAAGAATCATGCTAGCCTCTGAGTTATAATATGACAGTTTTATCTTACTATTCTGCATTATTATCTTATTATTTATTTTGCTATCTAACTATAAACTAATATCATTTAAAATATTAATATACTCATTTTCTTTTTAATATTTTTCTCATAAAACTCTTGAACTGTGAATTTTTTAATATTTTTCACTTTATTTATAAATTTCTATAACTACATAAAGATATATTTCTTCTAGGCTATATCTTTTTCTTTAATTTGATTGAAAATTTTCTTAAATTAAATTTAAATAATTATATAAATACTCATAAATGTAATAGACTTAATTCTAAAAAAAAGTATTTTAGTTAAATATGAATAAAAAGTATTGAAAAATTAATAGACTAATTTTTTTTTACTAGAAGAACTTTTAAAAGTGATTAGTTTGATGCTTTAAATTGTTTTAAATTCTTCTAATAATTATAAAACATTGAATTAATTTATTTTAGAAAGTTTTGATAAAAGTTAAAACAAAATTATTATGGTAGGATTCTTTAATATTATTAATTCTTATACTCATATTATTAAAATTTTATATATTTTAAAAGCATAGTTAATATTATATAAATTGATTTTTCTAACCTTTATAATAAGTTTACCATTAAATTTAGTATCAATTCTACTAAATTCTACAGTAAAAAAATCTTTAATTTTAAATAAATATGTAGAAATTTTATTAACAATCTTAATATCACATACAAAAAGTTTATTTACAATTTTAGTATTAATTTATTTTTAAGTTTAGTGATCTATATATTAATGATATTTTAATTTTATAAAAAAAATATCAGAGATTTTTTATTTGAGAGATCATATGGGGCCTTTGCAGTAGAAAAGTTGGAAACTACCGTAAATCTGATTTTGAGATAATTGAGTTTGAAAGTTTTGATCACGCGTAAACAGATCGACAATTCGCA